ACACACACACACACACACACACAGAAACACACACAGATATACACACATCACACACACACACACACACACACACACACACATATTCTTTTTCTCTCTCTCTCTCTCTCTCTCTCTCTCTTTGTCTCTTTCTCGCTCTCCGCCCTCTCCCCACTATTTTCTTTTCCGCCTCTTGGTCGTTTAGATTCGGAAAATAAAACCGTTCTTTGGAATGTCTTTTGATCCCATAAGAACTGAACCTTGAGATTTTAAAACAAAGATAACTCAATTTGCATTCCAATAAAATATTTTTCGTAGTATTCGTTGTCCTTTTTTTTCTTTTTTTTTTTTATAATTTCGCCTAGCCGTACAGAAGTGTTGACTATACAGGACATTTTAGAATTCTTAATTAAAATTTGGTAGTGACTGAGATATTTCTATTTTCAGGATTATGCTCATTTTTTAAAATTGAAAATGTCTTTGACTATTGGGATTGTTCCATTTACTTTTGTGTAATATTTATTCTTGAATATATGTCTCCCAGATATTCAAATTGTTGAACTTGTTTGATGGTTCCACATTTGCTTGTGAAATTACAAATATGATTTTCTGCTGTTTACGATATGACCATGCATTCTACAATAACCCTTTACATTTATTTTCCGTCACTTTAGTAGTTAGAAGCAATTGAAAGTCCATACCTGAACCTGAAATTAAGACTGTTTCATAGGCATGTATCTGATATTCGTAACTTATTTTTGTGTGTCTAAGAACTGTTTCGATGCATATGTTGAACAGGTTTGGTGACATAACGCATCCTTGCCTCGTTCCTCTTTCAATCTGCATATGTTCGTTGCACTCTCCCTCAATTATTACAGCAGCGATTTGGTCTTGGATCTAGTAATAATTCGAAATAATCCTTACATCATTTCCATCTAGATCTATCTCTTCCAAACTTAAAACAGCTCATCAAGACTAACTTTATTAAAAGCCTTTGAATAATCTTTGAAATATATACACACATATTTCTGCCCTTCAAAATACATCTTTCCCTCTACTTGTCAGGGTGTTAATACCATTTCTGGTACCCTTGTTAGGAACAAATCTAAATTGTGTTTTAGGTGTTTCTTTTTCAAAATACTTTTTTCTCATTTAAAAAAGAGAAAGAAAATTAGCCCTTAAAGTAGTTTAAATGTATCTTTTAAATGATTCAAAGAGCGTATTATTCTATGCATCTCAGTAGCACAAGGCATTTTAGATAAAGCATAATATCTTTTGAAATCTTACCATTATCACAGATAGATTTTAAGAGCTTTGTTGTTATACCAAAACTAAATTCTGTCAGAGTTACAATACCTGAACTGGGACATTATCTGATCCTGTAGCGTTTCCTTGTTTCATTTTCTTAACGGCAGCTTGCACTTCTGCTTTCAAGCGAGGTGGTCCATTTCCTTCTTTCTTTTTTACTGGGTCTCCTCTATTATCTTTGAAAGATTCTTATGTGTATTCTTTGGTTTTGGAATGCATGAAACAGCTCTTTGTGTTTTTGGCATCTTGAAAGACTAATACTTGCTCAGTGTCAAAATCTGTAATAAATTGGTGAACTCGGTCAAAAACGTTTTCTGAAAAGAAGCCAATTAAATATTATAATGGACGGCCTATTATTCAGTTGTGTGAGGTACGCTTCAATATTGAGTACAGGTGTGATTTTACTCATGTGTAACCTTCTCTATCAAACTATCTGCCTCCCTCCTCCTCTCTCTTTTCGACTCCCCGCTACCCCCACCCCTTCCCCCTCTCTGTCTATGCATCGCCCTCGTCTGTTTCTCTGTCTGTCTGATTCTGAAATAGTTTGGCATATATTTAGTCTCTAACCTTTACAAATTTGGACTCACTACATCTTTACTTTTGTTTTGTTCATACCTAAACAGTATTAATATTGTAATCATGTTGCTCTTCACACAAACAAGTCTCTACACATTCTTGTAAAGCGAACAAACGCACACTCATCCCAGTTTCATCCACTTGTATTAAGACAGATACACACATAAAAACAAAATACATTTTGTATGTGAAAATGTAGCATATCATCTCATGAGAGAGACTTCGACGATACCGTGGTTTCCTTGCACACGTCTTATTGTGAGGGGTTTATTATTCTTGTGTCTTTCCACACAGTGCATATACGATAAGATAATAATACTTCATCTAGATGAAAGCCCCTCTCTCTCTGCATTTTCCCTAGTTGGAAATTGAGAGAAGTTCAGCTCATATTTTCAATAACTACTGTTTTAAAAGGACCAAGTGTTAGTTTTAATAATGAGTTGTCATGATTGGCCTCTAATCAAAGAACATGTTCATATTTTGTGTGTCGTTCTTAATATATTCGAATCAGAATATCATGCAGTAAATGACATAAAACTGACCATTACAGAAATAGCAAATCCTGAAATCCTATTACGCCCTAGCTGGCATTATATCTCATTTTCCTGAAGACAGAAAGATCCATTATTGTGTGACGTAAGGGATTTTCAAACAATGTGATCCGTCTTATAGTTCCTGTTTTTTAGAGGATTTTGGTTTGGTTTGGTTTCGTTGTTTTCCTTAGAGAGAAATGTAGTTATATAGCGAGCCCTGAGATACAATTTAACTAAAGGTTTACACAAAGACAACGAATTTCCTTCCGTGTGGTGTCTGGACACTCCATCGTAGTTAACAATAAAGCAGATACCCTGCCACCACCCACCCCACCCCCACTCCCTTTCCATTTCTTTGCGAGAGAGTGTCAGATGTGAACGAATCGAAATGCTCACTTTGAATGGAAAGTGGCGGGATGGGGGACATCATTGTTTTGTTTTGATTTTTTCCCCTCTGATTTTGTCGATCATCTACGCGCCAAGCGTGTCTTCCCTAATGACAATGGAAAATCCCTGATTTTTATACCGCGGTCGGAAGTACATCACTGTTGGCTCCTATGACGTCTGTGCTATCTTTGACGACGAGCTCATATGCTTCCGGGGCCGACGGAGACCTGACGATATTGAATTGGTTACCGCCCATTGTGCAGCCATTTTTGAGCGTCCCCTGAGATGGAGTCTTGTTTTTCCTGCACTGACGAACGATTCGGATTATCTCCTCTGTCGGCGGCAGCACCACCACAATAATGGCCATAACGACAGCCCACGTCTAGGGAAAGGAAAGACAACGAGATCAGTGTTTAGTTTCAGATGGTAAAAGGCAAGACACACAAAGACAATTCTAGTACACAAATGATATGTAATATAACCCATCGTCTGCACATCAAAAAATGTATAGGGAAGTGAAACTGGTGACAACACCAGTTTATATAACGGTGGGCCATATTGTTAATAGCCATGGTTAGAATTCCCGTTACGTGTTCTAAAACTGTGAATATAAGATGAGTTTTCGAGGCTCTGCATCGAATTGTCTGAATCATGTAGGGAATGGATTTTTGGTTATGTTATGGGTGTTAAATCAATGCCATACTATAATAAAGCAAATCAACCTTTTTACCCCACCTCGCTCCTTGTCCCCTCATCTATTTTATCAGTGTTTTTCACACCGACATGTCACTCATCATAACACTCACTACAGGCACTTCCTCAGACATTTTACTTAATTTGAAGTAGCCTACCTGTCTTCTTTCCTTCCTTCCCTTATTGTACCTTCTTCAGTACCCAACCAAAAGTCCAAGATTTCAAAACCAACTATTTGTCAGTAATTGGACGTTGGTATGTATGAAATACTCGTAGATCTACCCTCTTTTTCAGCATTTACATGTTATTCAAGAGGGAAGACATTCGATAGCTTTTTTGCTATTCAATAGGACCTTAAGAATGTTTCGTTCCCGTTAGATTAAAAAACAACAATCACAAAAGCAAAAAGAACAATCGTTATACACGCATAGAAATACTATAATCAGCAACAACAACAAAATAAAACATGCAAAATACAAGAAAAATACAAACATAAAAACAAATAACTCAAAAGCAACCTTCCCTCCCCCCTTCCCCCCCCCCTCTCTCTCTCTCTCTCTCTGTCTCTCTCTCTCTCTGTCTCTCTCTCTCTCTCTCCCTCCATATGCCTCTCTTTTTCTCCCTCTCTCCCCTTCCCCTCTCACCTGTGTGAAGTTGAGCCACATCCCGAAGCGAGTAAGGTTCATATCTGGGAAAGCCGCCATGATGCCAGGAATGAGGAAGGCAAAGAGGAAGATGCTTGCTGAACCCGCGATGTAAGCGGTCAGCTTGGCTTTCCGGAACGCCTGTTCCATCTGGGCGAACGATGGCCGCTCTTCGTACTCCATACCCTGGAAAGGCGGAGTGGAACTTTGGGGTAAAAGTCAATGATAAACAACCCCTACTACATGCTAAATAGAGCAGACCAGGTCTCAATCTTCGGCTCCGTTGTGGCCACAACTGACTCAAAACAATATGCACACCATATCCTTCAGCAATGCCGGGCACAACGTCTCCCTTCGTACACAGACGTAGCAGAATGTGACTCCCCTTGAGAGAAAGCTCTATGGCAGTCTCTTAGATTTAAAGCGGACTGCACAGTTTGTGCGCGACATCGGACTGTCTAACTGCTGTCATCGAGAACGAGGAAGAATAAGACCCCCTCCCGCCCCCTCCAAACCCTTTGTCTTAAAGGATAGAGACGTTAGGCTGCTAATGCTCTTGTTAAGGTCTCCAACACTAATTTCAATGGTGATCCCTGTGCCATTTGCAACCGATTGTTGTCATCTAGTTTCCCCTTTTTTACCCAGTTCTTCGTGGGCTCTCGGGAATAATTTGTGTGACTAATTTGGCCTTTCTAATTCGCTCGACGAAGACCGTGACAGAGCTCACCCTGGTGGTTTCTCTAAAACTTGTTTCTTTCCTATATTTACTCTTAGGCACCATTGCAAAATATGGTGAACGTTATCTTGCTATGGTGGTGTGTTTTTATTTAGGCAAACATTGTTTATAATACACTTAACATACCCAAAAATACATCCAAGGCTCAATTATGTTTACCTGTACAACAACGATGAATGATTTTGATGATAACAATGATGACGACGACGACGACGACGACGACGACGATGATGATGATGATGATGACGATGATGATGATGATGATGATGATGATGATGATGATGATGATGATGATGATGATATTTTTTGTTTCCTTAACGGGCCTGGCGGACTCCATGAAGAAATCTTCTAGCGAGAGGCTCTTTTTCGGCTCCATTGTCAATATTATGCTTAGCGGCACCTCCACTCGTCCAAATAACTCCATTCGAATTGCCATTGTTCCTGGACGTTCAAATATATGTTTGACATCCTCCTTTTCATGGCCGCACCTTCGGCAACATGGGCTGAGCTCTTCATTTACAAAGTTCTTATACCATCTTAAACTCCAATGATGGTCCGACCGCAGTCTCGCTAGCTCAACCTGGTCCCAGCGACATGCGGTAGATTTTGGTTCCCGCTTATAGGAGTACCCAGAATACACATCTTCCAGGTGCTGGTACTTAGTTCTACATGGTGGGTCTCTGATTTCCCTCTTGATCATTGGAAAGACTCCTCTGTATGTTGTTGATCGTCTGTCTCCTTCGATCTCTCTGGCTTCATTAGCAGCTTGGTCTGCTGCCTCATTGACTTCTATTCCAACATGGCTTGATATCCACTGAATTTTTATTGTGGCTCTGGCTTCACTGAACTTGCGGCACAAATTATTCATGTCCGAGCTGTTGCCCAGCAGCCCCTTGCAGAGGGACTGACTGTCAGTCAAGATCAGCACATTGGTCCTACTGTGGCAATTGTCAGCAATACATTGTGCAGCAGACATCATTGCCTGGCATTCCTCGTCATGAGATGATGTAAGGAATGCACCTTTAGTTTTAATAATTTCTGTTCGTGGTGGTTCATCATTCATTGTCACCACTGCTGCTGCTCCACCTTCGCAGTATCCTGCGACAGCCGATCCATCGGTGAAAATTGTCACATTCGCACCAACCTCTTTGATCACATCCTCAGCTGCTTCACGTGTCTTTACAGGATCACCACCTTTTCCTTTTACTCCTCTCAGTTCTGTCCGAATTTCGATTTCGCCATGGGTCTCCCATGGACAAGCTCTCACCAGATTGATAGGCCATCGATTATCTGCTTCAGGGGGGGAGGTGGTCTGCTAGATCAGTGCTCATCCGAAACCAACTTTTCCTGTGGTTTTTAGGCTTGACTGTTTGATCAAGGGCTTTCTTTCTAGGATGGTTTTCTGGTAATCTCTTAGCCATCTCTACAGACTTGAGGCATGTTCTTTTTGTATAGGTGGTGTAGTGCTCAGTTCTGGTCTCATAGCACAGCACTTCTGTTGTGTTGTTTTCAGCTGACCTGATACAAGTCGGAGCGCTTTGTTTTGTATTCTGTCCAGGGCCTTTGCCCTAGTCTTACTCAGCCAAGGCTGCCACGCTGGGGCAGCATAATCCATCTTGCTTTTCACAAACATCTGATATACTTTCTTGAGCGACTCCTTACCCCAGCCCCATTTTGAGTTGCTGACAGCACCGATAACCTTCATTTTTGAGGTTGCACTTTTGGACACCTCCTCAATGTGCTTGTTGAAGGTTAGCTGTCTATCCAGGTAGACGCCCGGCAGACGTGGAGTGGGGTTGAATGGTATCTTTTTCCCTTTGATCTGAATTATTGGTTGCCACGTTGCCTCCTTCACCCATGTTGAGAAGAAGCACACTTCACTCTTGGTTGCATCCAAGGTAAGCTTCCATTCATTGCTCTATTTCACAACCATTTCCACAATCAACTGTGCCGCTTCATATGCTTTTCTCTCTTTGTGTGACTGGCTAGTATTGTGCAGTCATCAGCGAACATTGATTAGATCAGCTTGGCGGAGGTTAGTTGTTGTGAGTCAGGGTTTGGGAGGGATTCTGCCAGGTTGTTTATGAAGAATATAAACAGCAGCCGTGATAGTACAGCTCCTTGGGGAAGCCCTTGTTTGAAATTCTGGCTCTTGCTTGTTTCTCCATTCAGGCGAACACGGGCTTGTCTGTTTCTCAAGAAATCATGGATCCACCTGGTTGCACGCAACGGAACTCCCTTGTCAGCCATTGAAGGTAATAGTCTTTCACGCCAAACCGTATCATATGCCTTGGAGTAGTCCAGCAGGACTAGGACTGATCGATGGAATGTTGGCTTTTGTTGAAAACTATCCTCAATTTCTTGACAGATTCTGATGATCTGGTCCGTGTAACTATGACCTTGGTGAAAGCCTGCCTGAATATCTGCAATCCATTCATTCTTCTCTGACAGGTAGTAAATTCTTTCAGCGTGCATCCTTTCTATAACTTTCACGACACAGGATATCAAACTAATGGGTCGAAAGGATGTCATATCACTAGGTGACTTACCACCTCTCAAGAGAGGAATGATAAGTGCGTCACGCCAGTCTTGTGGGCACGCTGCTTGGTTAAGCGACAGATTACAGCAATTCTTTCAATTTCTTTTTAGGAAAGATGGTGGTATATCATCAGGTCCTGGAGCACTTCTTCTCTTCATTTGTGTTATGGCACGCTCCAGCTCTTTGATAATGAAGTCTGGGTACGATTGTTGTTCATCTTCGCTGTTCACATCGTCATACAGTAGGCGCTTCAATCCGACTTTGTTTCTTCTGCGCTCCTCTTGGGTAAATTGGAGCTTACTGATTTTTGCATAGTTCTGGGCAAAAAGCTCAGCTTTCTTCTTTGCTGATGTTATCCTTTTCCCGTTGTGTTTCAGTACTTTGTTAGGAGAGTTGGTATCTGGTCATCCATTTAGAGACTTGATGAAACTCCAAGTTTTCCTTTCGTCCAGATCATTTATCACGCCATTAACTACCTCCTTCCACTGGTAAGTCTTTGCTTCTTGGACAGCCTCTGTAACATCTTTGCAAGCTTGTAACCATTCCTCCCTGCGTGAGGAGATATTTTTTTTTCTTAGCTTCTTTCTTTTCTTGATCAGTCCACGACACTTGGGGGTCATCCAAGAGTGGGATTTCTTGGACGGCTTCACCTTCCTGAAGCATAAGCTGCTTCAAGTAAGATGGCATTGAAACGTTGGACTCGCAGATTAAGATCGTCAGTTTCCGGTAAGTTGTCCATCTTGCTTTCAATCTCTTTTCGAAAGTCTGGCCAGTTCACTCCATTTCTTCTCCATCGGCGGGCCCTTGCAAAGATTGATTGATGTTTAGTTGCACTGTTCACTGCAATGATCAGAACCACCGAGATCTTCATCATCCACCTACCATACACATTTGCTCTTCCAGACACTTCCACATAGCGTGACATCTGGCCAGCTGATGATGATGATGATGATGATGATGATGATGATGATGATGATGATGATGATGATAAACTAATAACATCAAATCATACTGTGAGCGTTATAATACATTAGGTACATTTTCGTCTTGACTAAAGTAAACGATAGAGCCAAAGAAATAAATATTTATTAAGTTTTAATATTCAAAAACATGCCTGCAGGTGAAAAAAAGTAGATAGTAGAAACATGTCCTGGGGCTACTACATTGAGTAGTAACAGAAGCATTTCTCCATTTCAAAGCCATCGCTCTCTTTTCTAGACAAGTCAAAATGGCCTTGTGCGAAGGCCTGCTATTTTGACAAACCCCTCTAGATTCTTATACATTAGAATCGTCCTCTCTTACAATTTTTGAGTGGTTTTCATTTTTGCAAATGTCAATAATCGCGGAAAATTAAGTAGTACAGAATTTTGGCAGAAACTTCATACCTTCATGTCTTCACGATACAAAAGTTCCCAGGGCTGTAAAGGGTTGTCAATATCGTACATCTTCATCCATTCAAATTCTTCGTCCGCTGGAGCTGAAAACAAAGAGGAATTAACGGTGTTTGATGGTTAAAGGAACGGAGCAAAGCGTTTGTGTCGCAAGCTTAGGTCTTTTTGAGAACTTGAAAATTATTCAAAGAATCATGAAGAGGGGGGGGGGGGGGGGGGGATAGTGAACCTTGATCATAGCATTGAGCTGCATTTTGGTGATGTTGAAAGGTACATCTTTGATAGAGCGCTGAGAGGGTGTAAAAATCGAAAATTATCAAAATCTGGACTTATGTGGATTTTTTGCAAAAGCGATGAAAAGGAGTTAAATTTTGGTGATTTTGGATCAAAATATGGCACCTGAGCTAGTCATGTCTGAGGCTAAAACTATCAATCAGAGAATTTCAAAAACTTTTACTTTACCTAAAATTGTCTTTCAAAATACTAGTATTGGGTAGAAAGGGTAGAAATTGAAGCAAACATGATCCATTACGTAACAACCTTCGTTTTTCTCATATGTGTCACGATGCGGAGGAATCAGGCGATCGTCAATTTTTGGGCATGTGGAGTTATTGGTATCATCTGAAGGCGGATTTATTTGCCTTGCTTCCAATGAAATATATATCTACTTATCTTGAACAAGATATCTGCATTTGAAGGACGGGAGGACGCCTGGTTTGAGCGGTGAAATTAGTGAGAAAATGGCCGCCAAAGTTTTGCAACTCTAATAACTAAAGAGTCTTTGAAAATTGAAATATTTTCTGCCTTTAATCAATGTTTTTCAGTAAAATTCACAGGGAAATGTGCTTTCTATACATAAAAGAAATTAAGGGGGGGGGGGGGGGGGGCTACACCTGGAGGCTATCTCGCTTATTACTGGACCGAATTTTATCACATTTCACACATATAACAAGCATAGTAAGGAGTCTTGAAATCCGCAATCAAATTTGAGAAAAAAAGTTTCGTTTCCATGGATACGCCGCCATATTGGATTTTATTGACATGTCTTACGTAATGAATACCGCACTTATCGCTCAGGGAAATTGATTGTTTTTTTGCATACGTGTGCACAAACATTGAATCTAAAAATTTGTCTGTTGTTTTTTTCCTAATCGAATTAGAAAATTTTTTATGAATTTTTTCCTGAGGTAACATTCAAGTTTGCGAAAAATCCGTGAAAATCCACACTCCAGACACCACCAACAAAAATCTATTCCAAACATCAAAAATTCAACAGACAGATTTTTAGTATTACCTCTTCTCTTCATTCTGTGAAAATTTCATGAAGATTGGATGAAAAATGGTGGAGTTGTTCAAAAAAGTATAGAGAAAAGTAGCATTTTGAGAAAACGGCCGATAAAGAAAAATAAAATACTGACTTTATGAGGAAATGGCGGTTACAAACTTGCCCGGTATGGGAAAAAATACGGTTTTGGGGGGTTCTTATGCCATGAAATAGTTGTAGGAGAGGCTGTGGAAGCTAAATATGCCTACAACTCAAATTCCATGATTTTGAGCCGAATTTTGATTTTGGGGTAATTTTTAAAACTTTTCAAACTAGCGGATATTGCCCGTTTCTCAGATTTCGTTATTTTGACGAGCACCTGATTTCATCACGCTGCCTCACATATTTCCCATTTTGGATCGCTTTTTTTATTGTTTACTTCTTCTTTTCTATGTGAGTACAAATTATAGCTTCATGATTTCTTGCTCACACCATAACCTAGCTTTATACAACAGTTAGATAAATGCACTATAGTTAGTTATAGATGACAGTGCAATCACTTTGTAGGTGTGAAGGGGGAGGCAAGTTAACCGCCTTGAACTTTTTCCTATTCGACATATCGAAAACTCAATTGTATACACTCTTGATTTGAGTATAGATCCATATGCCAATACACCAAATCTGAATTTAAAAATAACCAAATGAAAAACCGTATTAGTTTAAAGAAAGACTTTTATTTTTAACTTGGCTGCTGTAATCGTGGTGACTTTGGATGTTTAAAAAATGCGATGCTGCTTTTCAGAGATGTTTTCCCGTAGGTCCCAATTACCTTGTGAGAAAGAAACACAAGTAGGTGTTCTTCAGACACAAACTTCTTACTTTTCCAACACACCAAGAAGCTTTTATTTAACCACCTCACTACCAGACCCGAGAATTGAGTTATGGAGCAGGTCTAAAAGTAAAAGCGCATTCCTGCGTTTCTTAAATCCCAGTTTATTAGACGTAAGAATTCATTGAATCTTTACTTTTCTTGTTTGAAGTAAGGGGCTGTCCCGTCTCAACCATCAACACTATCGACTCCACAATGCAAGCGACAGTGGGCTGATCCCGCGGAGACCTTTGTGTTTACAAAACAGCGCAATCCCCTTCACACTCTCAAATTTTTTAAAATTAATTTTTTTTCCTCTCTTCCACTCGAACTTGGCGGATAATCTGAAGAAAATCTAATTACCTACCTTCACATATAAAAAACCTATCTAGATATATGCAGAAACAAGACCAGTTAGTGAAAAGATGACAAATGCTTACATATTATTGCAAAAATTGTCTTCTATCAACAAGCGCCTGTGTTTATGTCGCAAAGTACAGTCTTTTGGAATTATGCACCTAGGACTTGGCATGGTGTATGCAAATGAACAAAACCCATTAAAATAACAAATTTGTTATTTTTTAATGCTATGTTATATAAAATGCAATTAGAGTCTTTGTAGCTCCAGTACTCACAGCCAATGAAGTTATAACTGAGGCGCTGGAACTGCTCACTGTGGGAAATGGGGGGAGTTAGTGTAGGATTGGGAGCATGATGTGAAGGATTTATTTGCTCGAAGTTAGGGCTATAGGAATTCACTTCTACTTTCTGTCCAACCAGAGAGCCCCTGACATTCTCGGACCGAGCAGTGAAGGGGTTAACAACTTTAAAGGTTTACCGTTTGTTTTACGTCACAAATACACAAAAAACAGTGTTGCATACGTACATTTTATCTTATGAGTGAGCAGTGAGCCAACGATGCAAACGGTTAGAGAGACCAGGAAACCGATGCCATTTCCCGCCAAAATAGTGTAGTCCCGGACTGTGTTGTCCAGGAAGAGGTTGAGCCCTCCAGGGTACTGCGTGGCCGCCACCATAGTTGCTACAACCCCGGACACCAGTCCACTCAGGCTACCTGTACGGACAAGTATTGTTTGTCTCAGTTATAGACCTGTTGTGTTATGGCTACTCTTATTCTGATTCTGGGACTCACCTCGAGCTGCTCTGTGGAAAAGGGAGAGAGAGAGAGAGAGAGAGAGAGAGAGAGAGAGAGAGAGAGAGAGACAGACAAACAGACTGACAGACAGAGACAGAGATACCGAGACAGAGACAGACAGACGCATTCACACACACACACACACACACACACACACACACACACACACACATACACACACACACACACAGAGATTAAGAGAGACAGAGAGACAAAGAGACAGAGTGAGGGGGGAGACAGAGAGGTAGAGAGAGAGAGAGAGAGAGAGGGGGGGGAAGGGAGAGAGAAAGAGAGAGATTAAGAGAGACTAAGAGAGACACAGAGAGAGAGTGTGTGCGAGGGAGAGAGAGAGTGTGCGAGAGAGAGAGAGAGAGAGAGAGAGAGAGAGAGAGAGAGAGAGAGAGAGAGAGAGCGAGAGAGCGAGAGAGCGAGAGAGCGAGAGAGAGAAGTTGTTTTGGTGCTCATACTATCTTATGCACTTGCGAGTGCTGTAAAACCTCTACTAAAACAAACAAAGTTTACCCAACCTCCTCACGTCTCTTCCAATCCCTACAATCCCAGACAGAACAGTAAACCCCACCGTGGCCCCCCGAGTAACCCCGGGTGTTGTGTACTTGGAAAAGTGTTCAAAATGAAAGGTCATTATTTATTTCTTCTCTCTCTCTCTCTCTCTCTCTCTCTCTCTCTCTCTCTCTCTCTCTCTCTCTCTCTCTCTCTCTCTCTCTCTCATTCACTCTGTCTCTCTGTCTCTCTGTCTCTCTCTCTCTCTCCCTCTCTCTCTCTCTCTCCCTCTCTCTCTCTCCCTCTCATTCTCTCTCTCTCTCCCATCTTCTATCCCCCCCCCACCTCTCTCTCAAGTTAAAAATAAATAAATAAAGACTACGGGGTGCAGAAAGGCAGAGTCACATTTCGATGTTATAACATTTCGTTGATGTAGAGAAATTTTAGTTTCAGAAGGACGTAAGATTGTTCTCTGTTTATTTCGCACAAAGGCACTCAAAACATTTTCTGTATTAAAATCTGATGTATTATTTTTACGGTATTCAGTAGTATCTTGAAGCCCCAAATAGGACTATAACTAAAAATAATTTTTTTGCTTTTTTTGACCCTTGCAGTTTTTTAAAATGTCAAAGAACCTGCTATGAGGCCAGTTCCGGTGGCCTTGACCCAGACAATGGAGAGTACAACGGGCGGGAAGCATGGGATGGTCACTGTAGCCCCAGAGTAGAAGATCCAGTTGAGGTTGATGCCGGACTTGAAGACGATAAGACCCAGAGGGATCATAGAGAGGGTGACCCACACGATGCACCAGTTCTTGAAGTCGAAGAGGAAGTCCATGTAGTCCCTGGGGAAGGGTGGTGGTGGTGACGATGGTGATTATGGTGATGGTAGTGGTGATGATGATGGTGATGGTGGTAGTGTTGATGACGGTCGTGGTGGTAGTGGTGATGGTGGTGGTGGTGGTGGTGGTGGTGGTAATTGTGGTGGTGATGGTGGTGGTGATGGTGGTGGGGGTGATAATGATGGTGGTGCTGGTTGTGGTGATAATGGTGGTGGTGATGGTGGTGGTGATGATGGTAATGGTGATGGTGATGGTACTGGTGATGGTGATAATGGTAGTGGGGGTAGTGGGGATGGTGATGGTGGTGGTGGTGGTGGTGATGATGGTGGTGATGGTGGTGATGATGATGATGATGATAATGTTAATAAAAAACAGGCGGTGATAGTGAAGCTGATGTTGTAGGTGCTGCTGCTGCTGCTGCTGCTGCTGCTGCTGCTGCTGCTGTTTCTGCTGCTTCTGTTGCAAGTGCTTCTGTTACCGATGATGATGAAGATGATAAAGATGATGATGATATTGCTAGGGATTTCCATATATTTTTTTAAATCCCAAAAACTTGAAACAATGATGATGCCTATGGTGTGGGAAAGTAGGAGGACGGAGAAGGAGGTAGAGGAAGAGGAGGGGGATGATGAGAATGCATAAGAGCATAAGGAGAAGTGGGAAAAGGAGAAGAAAAAAAAATGACCAAAGTGGAGTAAACGGCTAAAGGGATACATAAATGACACCACTCAAAACAACACCAACAACAGCGACAACAACAACGACGATAACAACAACAACAACAACTACTACTACTACTACTACTACTACTACTACTACTACTACTACTACTACTACTACTACTACTGCTGCTGCTGCTGCTGCTGCTGCTGCTGCTGCTGCTGCTGCTGCTGCTGCTGCTGCTGCTGCTGCTGCTGCTACAGCAACAAAAATAACAGATAAGCAAAAGGAAAGCAGCAAATGTAGCAAAAACATTAATTATGATCACAAATACTAGAACGGCGAAAAAACACCTCGATTCCCTGGTCAGGTAAAAACGTAGGAAAATAACCGATTCAAAAACAAAATTTAAACAAGAGCAACTTAAATATTATTATCAAAAGATCGAAGGAGCAACGATATCATCAACAACACAAGGAAAATCCAGATTAAAAAAACAACAACAACAATTAAAATAAATCCACAGCATTACAAGCAAAGATGACAAAACCCACTACGTTTCGCCTAGATACCTAAATCTCCCGTGCGTTGTACAGGAGTATGGCTGTTTGAGGTAATATTGAGTACTATCTCTCGCACGCGCGACATCCTCAGTGCATTGAGTGCAGTTGGTAGCGTTAGCGCAAGAACACAGCTCACTCGTGTGGTCACCGTGCGCGTTCGTGGTGGACTTCGCCAAACCTTTTCTGGTCTTTCCGCACAGGACGCAGTGGTGCGGTTCCAAATTGTTTCTGTGGAAAAAAATAATAAAATAAGAAAAATAATACCTCAACTAAACAAAGAGGTTATAAGCAGAAGTATTGGTAACCTTTACGGTAAAATAGAAATACGTTTGTACATGGATTCATTCTGATTTTTGATACGCGTAGAAGGGTAGAATCACTGAACAATACAAAAGGGGGAACAACAAGCACAAACCATCTGTTGACGTATAGTGCTGCGACTTCAGCCTCACAGCCTGACAGTACTTACACGACATTCTTTCACCTGAGATCATAAATTTGTACTTTTTGTATATTCACACTTTCAGGGTGTTAAACTAATTGGCTATCACTATTTAAGTTGTTTATTCATTTTTAAACCCTATCCGTACGCCCTGGGGTTATTTTGTACCCCCGGGGTTGTATTCTTCACATTTTAGAATACTTCTAGTTCGAAGATCTCTTTGAAACTTTCAGTATTTCTCAAAAATAAGTTAGACAGACTGCTAGGCAAAGCGTACGGATCGGATTAACGAGTAAATTTCTTCTTTGGAAAGTGGTGGCACAGAGTTCCCCAAGTCGTATGGATACGATAGTCAAAAACGACGAACGGATAGAGTTAATCTTTTAATAATTTGAATTGAGAGTAGGCAACAAGTATACGACAGAGACAGAAATATTATGCGAGTAATACAATTTATTATTCAAATGATTAAAACATGTAGAATAATAATATGTTACATTTAAAACATTTAAACACAACATTCACAAAATAAAAGGATCATGTACATGTGGCTAAAAGTGATAAACATTAATTATCCTTCAGTGAGAAATTCAGGTATATAGAGGGAATTTCGAAAAAGGATGAACATTACACCTGAAGTTTCGGGATCTTGTTAAAAAGGCTTCTAAGCCAATTTAATAATACTCCAATGTTCCTCTCAAAGCGATGGTAGTTTATTCTGGAGGGAGATAACTGTGGTAGTTATACCATGTTTAAAGCAAAATTGTTATCTTCCTTTAACGGAAGCTCTCGGCACATTAATACCCAGAGCTGTGAACGAATTATTTTGCATTTTAAATTAGGTGTAAGCCCGAATTCTGTTAATGAAATTTTAACACTATCTAGATTTAATTGGTTAGCAGTGGTTGGTCATTTCATTTTTTTGCGTGGATGAAGTGGTTGAGGTGGAGGGGAATTTCTTTTGGTGTATTTTCTTTTTCGTTTTATGTTAGGAAAATCGCGAGCTTTGGGGAAGAGTGGGAGGGGGG